ACTTTAGTTTAATTTACAGTCACTACTTTAAAATATTCTATTTATTGTTCAATATCGTTTCTTTATTAAATGTATTCATTTTTCCATCACACCTTCCAATGTTTATATGGCGTGCACACATATTAACCTTGCAAGGTCAAAGTTCTGTTTTATGTTATATTAATACATCTTTCTTTGTTTGAGTTACCTGGGGGTTGGTGTCTCCTGTCTGGCAAAAGGTGTGGCAAAGGGCTGGGAGACCTGAAGTACTACTGACAGCCTAATTGGATTGCACCACATGCTTCATTGCCTGGGGGGTGTTTCATGTTTGTTTAAATGTTTTGTATTAGTTGGTTATATGGCAGCCATCTTGTTTTCCCCCGTGTGTGTCATTTGGGTTAGCTAAACCAGTATTTAAGTCCCCTGTGTGTCATTTCAGCAGGTCAGTTTACCATATGTTTGTTTGAGGTTTTGTTAATTATTATCTTGAGTTTAGTCTATTGAGTTGACCTCTTTTATTGGTCTGCCTGTTTAAGTTTTGGCTTTGTTAAATATATTTTCATATTTTTGGGTCAATAAAACCCGTTTTTTGAATTAAAACCACCTGTGTCCTTTATGCTTTACTGCTTGGTCCCTGACAGCGGGCCATGATTCAATACCCTGCAGAACATGGTAACTGAGGCCACTAGGGTCTGAGGTGTAGCTCTTTGGTTTTTAGCAGTTTCTTAGAGAATTACACGGTCTGACTTTAGGATAAATTTGCTGGGACATCCACTCCTGGGAGGATTGTGACCGTCAAACTGCCCAAACCTTTTATGTGGGTAGTCTCATTAGCTAACGATCATTAAATCATGTGCATGTGTTTAGCAGCACCTTGATCTCTTAACTCCATTTGGAACAGTAAGACCATGCTTTTACAATTCTGCACAGGTACCTGTGAAATTCTTTTCAGAAATCAGAAAGGGTTTATTGCCAGATGTTGAGCAGGTTTACAACATTAGGAAATTGCTGCGGTGCTTCAGTGCAACATACTGTCATAAAAATATAAGAATAAGAATAAGAATTAAAGTGCTAAGTGGATAGATATATACATGATACATATTTTCACATGATTAACTATATTTTCCACATGATCCACACACCAGCTAGTATTGATCAGGCTATAATAGGTGCATTCATTGGCATGAATGTCAATAGAATAGAATTCAGATTAATCTAATTAAACCCTAAAATTAAAACGTGATGGCGTTAGGAGGGACAGAGGAACTCAAACAAGATGCCAAAGCAACAGTGCTTGAGATGATAGATTAATAATAAAAAATAATCACTATCTGACAGTTATATACAAGTAAGTTATAAGTTATATACAAGTAATCAGTAAAATAGCAGACTTGCTATGAAGTATCAGATAAACAGAAAAATGTCAGAGTTTCTAAAACCCACAAGTTGCATCTTTAAAAAGCTCCACCATGACAACACGCCCGTGATTCCTTATTGTAAATGTGACCATTTTGAGATGTGTTTCATTTCCTCTGAAAATGTGTAACGATGAATAAAAAGTGAAGAAATCTAAAGTGTAAAGTCTAAAGTGTGCGTGTGGCTGTGTGTGTAAACCACATCTGTCCTGAAAGGAGCCATAAATGCTATCGGAATTCCACGAAGGGGTAATAGTACAATATATTATTGATCATTTTGAGAATACAGTTGAAATTTCGAGATACAATTAGAAATATTAGTTTAAGAAAAAAAAGTCTTGGCAATATTTGTAGATGACTTAGTTAAATCGTACTTCAGTATCAGCTTAGGTAACAGGGAATGGATTTCTCTTGGCCTGGCTTGTGCAAAATAAAGTGGCTGGCGATTGGTTACACCCTCGTGCAGCAATGAGGATGTACGCCGTATCACAATGCACGATAAGACGGCGGATCAACTCATTTCACTAACTCATCTACACGAGGCTATTTTGTAGCAGGTGTAGGAGCTGCGGCAGTTGTTCGACTTGACATGACAAGTCGTCATGTCATGGCAATACTATTACAGTACTGTAATAGTATTTTGAGTATAATCTTGAAATTTCAACTTTAATCTCAAAATGAATGTAGCCCTAAGACTCCATTGTAGCCTTTTCTCTAGAAAACAAGAGAAGAGAAAATCTGGGAGGCAAAGAAAATCTAAAAACTGTTGAAACTTTACCGTGCTGTGTCCTATTTGCTGTCCCGTAAGCGGATAGTAAATAGTTTTATAGGGGTAGCGGTAAATGTGTCTTGATCTTATTTCTTAGACCACCGTTATCGCTGAGTGACATCAAAATACTCAGAATTCACTCACAGAATCGGTGGAGTGTACCAGTGCCACATCAGGACAGATGCTGATGTCATTTGAGAGGGGATGGGTGAAACAGTGTAGATTTATTTGGAGATTTGGGTGGATTCTGTACAAAATAAATTCCACTCAACAAAGATAAAATCTAATGTCTCCAAAAGTTGATTCTGTTCATCTGGACGTAGCGTTTTGTGGGAGAAAAGTTTCGTCGCTCATCCAGTTGACTTCTTTAGTCTCAGCTGACTGCAGGTTTCCCCAATCTTATAAACAGTACATTTGCATAATGACTGAAACCAGCCCACTGAAGGAACAATGGGCTGGGAGGTCAGTTCCTTAATCTTAATTATGCAAATTCTCATGACCATTGATCAACAACCACTGACCAAAACCCACTGATCAAAGACCACTGATCAAAGACCACTGATCAATGGCCATGAGTACCATTCACAGAGAGTTGGGGAATGGCTGCAATCACAGCGTTGTAAGATGTCGAAAGATGTACAAGTCTAAGACCAGGCAACAAAGGAAGTTTGACTTGCTTGTTGTACTTCGGAAACCACCGCAAAATACGGAGCGTGTCCTCAGTGACCAGAAGAGACAAGGATGCGATACAGAGGATGTGGACAAGTGGGTGAAGAATTTGTCTGAAAAAAATGATACGACCAAGACAAAAACTGTGGTATTTTGTAAATAAAATAATAAACGTGAATTCACTGTGTAACTGTGTAACTTTTTTAGCAGCGTCCTCCTGAAATGCACTAACAACATTGAGAGTAAATCCTCCTCTATGCCCCTTAATGCTCTCTGGTCGCTATGGTAACATGTAAATATTTCTTTCAAAATGAGACACACAACTACAAAACAGGAAAAGACCCAGGGAAACAGAGTTAATGATAAAAATCCTGAAAACCATAAATTTCACACCCGAGCCTCAACTCTTGCAGGGTTGGGGGCAGCTTACTTAGATAACTTAAAAATGTTATTGTCTGGCTTTTTTCAGTGTTTTATTAGTTCCTGAGTAAATCGGTTTGGCTGAGATTAAAGTTATAGTTTTCACACAGCTGAATAAACATCAAACAGAAAACTGATTAAACAGAAATGTGAGCTATTGTCCTGTTATATTTGAGGGAGCAAAGAGCAGACTGTTGAGTTGGTCTCCACCGAGACAATCTGCAAATTTCATTAAAAGTGTGATAAACTATCATAATGTCTTTATTTTTAGTTAGCACATACCTTAACACTTCAAGCTGTAAGGTAATGATAGTTATATAAGAGCAGATGCATGCTGGTGCAATAAGCTGTACGTTTTACGTCCACTGGATGCATGAGCTTAGTCGACTAATCGCAAAAATAATTGGTGACTAGTCGACTATCAAAAAAAATTTGTGGCAGCCCTACTGTTGAGATGCCATTCTTAAGGAAGTTAAACAGGGAAATGCTGATGTATGCCAAATTACACAAGCTGGACTGAAAACCAGTGATAACATAAGTGATTTCCTCCTTACAACAGTGAGTGTCTACAGTCATCTGTAAAACACAGTGGAGGCTCTGTCACGGTTTGGGGCTGCGTTTCAGTCACTGGTGTTGGAGATCTTGTAAAAATTGATGGAATTATGAACACAGAAAAGTACCATCAGATTTTGATTCCCCATGCTGTAGTATCTGGAAAAATTCTTATTGGTAACTGCTTCATTTATCAACCTGAAAATGACTCTAAACACACTGCCAATGCAGTGAAAGCATACACAGAGAGAAAAACACATAATGAAAGGCTGTCAGTGATTGGTTGGCCTGAAGAAATCCAAAGTGTAAAGTCTAAAGTGTGCGTTGGCTTTGAATGTCCTTGAAGAAACCTAATCTGATCACTGAGCTCATTTTATATGACTCCAACCTGTTAGCCTTTAACATAATACGTGTGATAAAAATAACTTTCATTTTATCTTTTGCCCCATAAAAATATACCCTTTTCCACCTTTGTAATTACTACAGATATTACTGTAGAGGGTTTCGCCTCTCTGACATAATTGTGATGTGATGATCTCAAGAGTTATAGGAATTTACTTGGTAGCTATACAAAAAAATGTAGTTAAAACTACAATATGTCTCTATGAAAAGTAGAGAGCAACTTTCTCTTCACCTAACAGTACAAAGTCCTGCACAGCCATCCTTCATCCTTCGCTGATGTATAACTTGGATGTGGTCCAAGAACAAATTATCTTCTGTATGTTTGCATTGTTCCCTGGAATAATCCAGGCTGGAATTGCATTTCCTGAAAAACGTAACTAAGAACGCAAATTGCATAATAATGAAACTGACTAGAAGATGGGGTTAATATTCACACATCCCACATCATAGTTTTCATGTTTAATGAAAACTAATTTTCGCTCAGGGGTTCCACAAGGATCCTTTCTCAGACATTTGCTTTTTTAAATAATTGCTTTTGCTTGGCGAGTTTATAGACAGTACAATTTAACACCTTTATTCTAGTGACTTATTTCATCATGTCGCATTATTTTTCAACTACAAAGTTATATTTTTATTACACATTATCCTCAGGTCAGAGGCCATCGAGTTTGAACTGAAGTGGCACTTTTGTTTAGACAGCTTTTATGTTATTCGATCTTTTCGAGCAGCTGCTGTCATCAGCGTACAGACTCGGAAGTCCCGATAGTTTTAAATCATTATATAGATACCTTTACCTCACTGGGGGTGGCTGTGCATCAAGAGGCAGAGCAGGTAGTCTTCTAATTGGAAGGTTGGTGGTTTGATCCCTGGTTGCTTCAGTCTGCATGCCAAATATCCTTGGGCAAGATACTAACTGCAGGAATGTTAGAAAGCACTTGAGCATAGAAAAAAGTGTTCAGGTAAATGAGGCGTTTAGGTTGAGTAAAAAACTGCTATATAAGAACTGATTCTCAAAATGCTTTAAAGCGTCAAATATTAGATTTGAAGTGAGGCAGCCAAAGTTGCTACAGCCTCCATTTGAATCCTCAATATGCATATTATCTTGCTAAACATTCCCAATCACTTCGATGCCAATTAGTTTCATCCTGTTTTTGTTTAACAAAATAATTCTTAGTTGGTGGCTTCTTTCAAATACAGGTCAGTTTAACCTCTCTGCACTTTTTTCTTCTTTCATTTGCTAAACAAGCCCATTTGTTACATTTGTTTGTGAAGTTCTGCACTGATATTTGGATGAATCGTGTTTACACTCAAACAAAAAATGTAAGAAATTACTTTTCTGGTCATTTCATTTATTTGTTTGTTTAGTTTCTTGGCTCTTGGGTGATATGGATCACAGAGCCTGTTAGAGTTTCTTGTCCACCTACTTGTTCACCCCTTTGGGCTTTTGAGCGTCCAAACTTTCAGTCAACAATGAGCTGAAATGAATATCCACTGCTCACTTTAAAGACTTGAAAATACAAAGAAGCCTCATGTATGAATATCATTCTGGAAACACACACCAATTTCTTTTTCTTTTTTCTTTTCTCTCTTTTTCCTCGACTGTTTTGTTAAAGAACAAAAACAAGAGGCCTCGGCAAAAGTCAAACCCAGGTTATCCCTCCAGCAAATCACTTCTGTGGCTCACAGTGAGATGCAGAAACCATTTATAAATTCTACTTGCGGTGCATTAAAGCACTTAATGGTTTGTCTTGCTAGCACGCTTGCGCTGCTTAAACCCAATCCAATAATAGCAGATGACATACAACTGAGAAGAGAGCACAGATCTGCTGAGGAAGCTCTTGGCTCATGTAGCCGAGTAGCATTTAAAACTAGATTTCCTTTTTTCCTCTTTCCTTTTCCCCCATTTAAAAAACATATATCTTGCTCTGACACACTGGGCCCAGGTGTTGCCAGTATCATCGGTACCTGCAGATGAGAAGGAAAGCAGGGCATAGTGGGCCATCACATCTCCCCATCTGCATTGTGGCTTCAGAGATGCCTCTGCATACAACACCAACAAGAAGAACTGACTCTCACTGCATATTTCCTCCTTTTTAGACCGTTTACTACAAAGCCTAAAGTTTTCACTAGCCATGCTACATTGAAAGTCACTTAAATTGCATTTCTAGCTCATTCTGATCCCCGATTTGCTTGCATAACTTTTCAAAACTTTCCAAGAAAACTGGAAATTCAAGAATATCAAAAATTTCAAGAGTACACTTGACATATTGCTCTCTAGAATGTAGTAAACTTTTAAAGTTCACACATGATCATCAACAGTGGGCCTTTTTCACCGGCTCAGAAAAAGTGAAACTCTCCCATCGCTGCATTTGTTGTACAGTTGCTAGTCACTGTGGGGGGAAAAAACACTGGCAGCTTTGACTCTTTCACGCCAAATTGTGTTAAGGACATGCTGCTGTGCTATAGTGACGGTGTGTTTTCAAAAACAGTCGGCTGGACAGCTCGCCAAGCTGAGCAAACAGGAGGCAGTGACCACGATTTACCCAGCTCTGTAGCCTCTGTATTTAGTCTTTCCAGCCACCACTGCTAGCAAGTGCCTCAAAGATAAGGTGAAGAAGCAAGTAAAAACAACGCAAAGACCTCGTATGTGACGTGCTGAACATTTTCGGGTAAGTGTAACTCTGTAGAAACAGTTGCTATGGCTCCCTCTTTTTTTTGCAAGTTTTCCTCAAAAATACATAGTAAAGTAGATACAACACGAGGCGAAATCAAGGGAAAAGTTAATGATTATCGAGTACTAATAGGAAAATTGTATGGAAAATATCAATACCAGATTAATTTGTAACATGATTATGTAATTCCGTTCTTGCCTGTGAGAGAAAAAAAGGAATTCGGCCACAACAGGTGCCTTGCAGATGACCTTCCCTTCTCTTAAAGATAGCCTGTTTTTGATGTTACCACTTGCTTTATTACATTATAGATTATCTGACATCTTCACAACTACTTTCTTCTATAAAGGGCTTGGCTGCAGTCATATCACATATTATTCACTTTTCTGACGGTTTAAGACACTCAGGTGAAGTTAAAAACACAGACAGGACTAAAACGTCATAAGCTGGCCTATACTGCTTTGCCTGCCCACACTCCTAGCACCTTAGCTTTACTATCACACAGGAAGAAGTACTTCCTTATGCATGTCCATGCACTAAGCGCACACCAATTACATCTCCTTGGAAAGTATTGATAATCCTGTACATGTTGCAACACTATCCTCCAGATTGACCTCTGGTAACATGCTATTATATGTGGGAGGGCTGGAAATGACTGGGTGGGTGATAACAGGGTCATAAAAGTAGCTGTCTGAATATATCCGATGAGAGGCAGAAGGGAAGCAAGGCATCAGTGACACCCTCTCAGGTGAGTAAGTCAGTTTTTCTCTTGAGGTTTTCTTAAATCTTTTGGATTCATTCATAGACTGCTGTGGCATCGGGGTAAATACTCTTATTACCTTTGATGTGACCACAAATACTCGCTTGAGAGTTTTTGTGTTTTTTATAACTGTATTTACAAATTAGTGATTTCTTGGTGATATCGAGCCATGACATGGAAATTCATTTAGGCTCAATTGGCATTTATTTAAAAATATATTTTTTATTATTTTTGCCTTGTATAATACATTATACCCACATATTATTGATGACTGAGTTTGATTGAAGTTACTCTTATCTGTCTCACATGATAAATTCATGATTTTCTGTCTGCAAGTGAGAGATTTTAGAGAAATTAACTCACCGTCATGTTTGTGCTTTTATGTTTTTCATGCAGCTTTTGACCTGAGGAGTCTCTTTGACTACGTCAATTTATTTCAAAGCACAATGAAGCTGAGTCTTGTTCTACCGGCTTTTTGCCTTCTTACCACAGGTAAAAAAATTACAATACATAAACCTTTAAAAATGATCCTTTTAGAAAAGGGAAGACAAAACCTTTTTTTAAAGAGAGTGTGAAGAGAATAACTAAAGATTATTAATTAACTGTTATTCACACACAAAGCATCACAACAAGATTATCTTAAAAACATCTCTGGCCACTTTGCCCTCAAATGGAAGCTGACTGAAATATTCAGCATATATACATCAAATAACTTTGTTTATTTCATAGTTTATGATTTTTTTTTAAAGTTGAAAAAGTTTTTATGGTTAATTTCGGCCACATCTATATCTAGACTGACCTTTCATTTTTTGTGTGAAGGATGATCTGTTTCATGGTGTTAGCATAGAATCTAATCATAGTCGTAGCGTACCATCGTAGCGAATTTTAATGGTGGTGGACCAAAGTTAAAGCATTTCCCGGGAATCAAAGGGAAGCTTGATGGGAGGCCATTTAGACAGAGTAGGAAATGTTGAAATGCTTGAAAGGGATAGGCCTTCGGGGGGGGGGGGGGGGGGGGGGGGTTCAATAGTGTCATTAGAGCAAAGGTTGAGTTTATTATCTATGACATTCTCCCATTAAGAATGCAACACTGAACTCCATTATCTTGATATTGGACAATAAATGTCAACGGCTGAAAACTGATATCTTTAATCTGGAAGCATTTTTAATAAATTTTAGAAAATGTTTTGTTTAAAAAAACATGTTTTAAGGCAGAAGTTGTGACTAGTTTCTGTGAGCATCACAGGAACAGAGGTTTGTTAACCTTTTGGGAAACCTTTGCATGATCTTGCCTTTTAACCCTTTTTGATCGTCCTGTCAGTATTTCTGTGTGGAGGAGAGAACATTACATCAACTAGCATCGCACCAGAAACCACTGCCTCAACTAACGTATCCAGCACGACCACAGACGGGGCATCCAACACGACCACAGACGGCGCATCCAACACCACCACCATTATCCCCACCATTATAACTAATTCTACTGAATCAGTTCCTACGACTGAGATTGTTAAGGAATCCAATTCAGGGCTTTCACCGGGCGCTATAGCGGGCATCACCATTGGCTCCATTGCCGGTGTGGGAGCAGTCGGTCAGTACTACACACGAGCATGAATTTACCATCATTTCTGCTTCCTCTATCAATATTTAATGTTATTCATTAACCAGGATGGCATTGGGGATGAGCCATAGCAACCGAGAATATTATTTACAGATACAGGAGCCTATTGGCACGAAAATATGCAAATATAGAAGGAAATAAGTTGTAAAAATTATGAAAATGTATTAGTGATAGTTGTAAAGGATTACAATATTCTTAGGAAAGAAATTGGTTCTCTAAGATAAATGACATGATAGAAAATAATAATTGAGACTTTTGTTACAGTGTTTCACAATTTTGAGTATTTAATCAGTAATTTCTCGACTAGTCTTGGACTCATATTTGTTTTTGCGAGACATTAATAAATGAATAATAGTTAATCCATTTTTATTGCAGGTGGTGGTATCTTTGGTATATTGAAGTACACAGGGAAGATCTAAGACCAGCTGTTGCACAATAAGGATCGAAGTGGATGTAGAGCGTCAGATGAAACATGTCCTATCCTGAGATCAGACTTAATCCTGACCATGCTGAGTGGATAGAGTAAGGCCTAAATGTCTGAATGGCTCAAGAAGGAATAAACTGATATATGTATAGTATATGTATATTCAAGATTATGATCTCATGGGCCAAGAGGAAGACATAATAATGTCTGTTTCACCACTTTGCTATTTTGATTGCTTGACTGATGGCCAGAAAATAATCCTTAGCTGATCAAAACATTTACATAATAGTATGAAATGTATTTATATTTTATCTGATATGTGTATCTTATTGACAGATACTACTCATCTAGTGGGTTAAATGTATTTAATTTTATGAGTTAATCTTCCTAATGTCCTTCACATTTGATGTTTTGTTTCAGTATAAAGGGTAGACTGTTTAACTATAAAAAAGTTTTTTTGTATAGAAACAAGAATACATAAGCTTTTGTGTTCATTTATAAAGGTAAAAAATCTTTGTAAGTAAATACCGATATTTCCTTTAAGCTAAATAATTAAATTTTATTGATAACATTTTCTTAAGATTAATTTGGCATTTTGCTCAAATACTGTAATTTCCTAGTGAAAAGCTTTGCAATCACTATGTTGTAAATAAATAAATAAATATAAAAATATAATCTGCTTTCTATAGCTGTCAAATAAAAGTGTTGCTTGAGCCATCTAGGCTATTGATTTATACACATACTTCCTTTAGTAGCTGAGTTATTTGCTTAATTTATGAGTTTATGACTTTTCCACCCATAGGCTTGGTGCTTCAGTTTATGGTACAATGATGGTTAGGATTGAGAACAACAGTCTATCAGTGAAAACAGATTGAGAAAATAATGTTTTGTTTGGGACTAGCTAAGTTTTTTGCAAGCTTTCAAACACCTAGCGTTTCCTCAATAATCTGGGTCTTGCATTGTTTGGTTTTATGCAGTTTTGTCTCTGAGACACTTGCCCAGCTCATGCTAGCTTGATGAAAAAGAATTTAATCTTTTACATATAACAAATACAGTCAAACACAAAAAACAATGAAACTGACATGAAATATATAACGTTCTAGTGTTAGCTAACACTATAGTGTTAGCTAGCGACCAGCAAATGTAGAACTTTTTTGTGAAAATCTACAAGAAGAAAAGAAAACTAAAAGTAATCAAACTGTACTTGAAGTAAATCCAAAATGCCAACTATGACAATTATGTGCCCAAAACTTTGGTGTGAAACGGTTGATGCCATACTCATGGTTATGGTAGGGTGACCAACTGTCCTCTTTTCCCTGGACATGTCCACTTTTCACGTTCTGTCCGGGCCGTCTGGGAGGAGTTTTGAGATCAATGAAAATGTCCGGGTTTTTCTATAGGCCTACCCATATGTGTGACGTCATCCTGAGCTGCTGCTTCGTGAGTGGTTGTTCTGTGCTCACAGACGGGACAGACAGCGCGCTGCTGTGCGCCTGATGATGTTTAAAAGATGCCAAAGCGCAAGTGAAGCATTTCAGATCAACTGCAAAAGAAATTTCCTCGTAAAGTCCCAGTACTGGTAAAAAAAAAAAAATTATACAGATGAGGCCTTATTTCTGTACCATTATTTAATTTGAGGGGTTTTTAAGTTAATTTTTAGCACTTGTTTACTTGAAAAAGCCCATATGACATTTTTTATTTCAACATTCATTAACCGCACAGAGAAGGCATCGTTTAAATATGTTAACATTTTCTTTAAGCAAACAGTATCATTAAAGTTCTTCATGACTGGGCCAAGTGTCCTCTTTTTGGAAATCAAAATATGGTCACCCTAGGAAGATAGTCAG